GTCCTTCTTTTATCTCCCTTGCTCGCTCGGAGCTCCCTGAAAGGGTTATAAAGAATGAGGCCTGCTTGATTTTTGTGGTTACTAATTTCGTCAAGCTTTGGACTTGGGTAAGTAAGTTTCCAAACTGACTTGTCGTAATTGGGCGGTTTTTTGGAGTTTTTTTGGGTTGGGCAGAAGACCGGTTGGAGGTGTATGGATTTGGAATTGTTGGATGGAACACCACTTATCGTTTTGTGTATATTCAGGGAAACAGTGCCTTAGCCCCATGGTAGGTGCCAAAATGGTACAGGTTGAAGATAGACCAGGTTCGAGTTCCCGCCCTATAGTGATTTGCAAACCTGAAAATGTTAAAAACGATAGGCATAGGTGATCCTCAGTGCAGTGATTCTGATGCTATCATGAAGGAACATTGAAGTAGGTAAGGACGAGGAAACGATTCCAATAATCCTTTCATTGCCATGATTCTAGGTCAGTGGCTACATGGATTGTTGTTAACAGGAAGTTGGTGTTTCTATTTAACGAGGGACTTATTTGAATAACATTGAAAACTTCAGTGTATTTAAATTCAAACAATATGCAAGCACTTATCTTAACGTGTTAGAGTAGTACCAGGGTGTTTTAGCTATTTTGTTCAATAGGCACAGTTACATCAGTGGATTCCATTTTTTGGGGAAAAAGAATTAGCAATTCCTGTTGAACTTCTTGTCATGCTTACAGCTCTAGATTATTGTTATTATCATTATTAGTATTATTATTATTATCATCATCATCATTATTATTATTATTCTTGTTATTACTATTTATTTGTCTTCTTATTTTGGTTATTTGTGCAGTGCACAGATAATGTACCATAGTATTCCAGTCACGAAGTCTAACCAAGTTATAATTGATTCTCTTGATCAATGGAATTATTAACTTGAGCAATGGAATTATTAACTTATGAGGTTTGTCTTGATCCATGGCCTCTTTTTGTTCATATTTCAATCAAGCATTGGGTATGATGTTCATAAGTTAATACTATTACTATTGTACATTATGGCAATTTAATAAAATACCAATCCACATAATTTTATCTGAAAGACATGTACGGACATGCATTTTGAATTCCTCTTGCCCCATTATTTTCTATATGAAGCCTTAGTTGCCAGTCTGCATTCACTTAGATGCTTACTGGCTACGTACAAGTTTCAGCTTTAAACTGACGACTGTAATCGTTGATGGTTGTCTTACCATTTTCAAAGGTGTGAAGTCTTCTCCACTTCTTCTCATGTACCTCATTCTAAACATAAATGTCCATTGGATCTTCCTGGATATTTTAATATGTCTAGATCCTCTACCTGTCCCCCCGTTGATTTGCCAATCAATACATTCACTCAGCAGAATTTGACTTTCGAGATTTGTGAATTTATTTCGCTGATTGTTTTTGTTACAGATTAAATGCGACTATATTTATCCCTTTACTTAGATGTAATTTTGTAGTTATCAGCCTTGTGGATGGTAATATCACTGAGAGTTTTTGATGTTATCAATTGTATTTTCTTTTTGCAATAAATTCTCTCCTTTTGCAAGAAATATAAGCTGCGTTTTAGCAGTCTCTTATTTCTTCTTTTCTCTCCCTTTCTCTTCTGTTCTTTTTGGCTTCAAACTTCTTTGGATAGAAATGCACCCATGGAGTTTGCAGTTATTCCTTTTTGAGATTTTGTACTTTCTATGAATGCTTCTCGTTTTTCATTTGAGTGCTTGGTAATTTGACAACTGTACCTTCTTCATGGCTGTATGCAGAGTAATGTACTTTGTACAGTTAAACTAGTAACTTAAGTAATCCATGTCGAAAACAGTCTCCTGATTTTTTTGGTAGAAAGGATGAATTTAAAGATGCATCTTGCTCGAAATTTAGGATTCATGTAACCTAACCAGCAGAAGAAATTGTATCTAGGACATTGTTGTAAAATGATTTGTCTGTAACAAGCGTTTTAAGTTGCCTGTTTAATCCTTTACATTTCCTATTGTAGCAAGTTCATAGCCATACATGATACTATATTCTCTTCATCTGTTTATTTACTTTTCTCTGAAAACTTTCTTTCCCGGGCTAGCTTATTGTTAATCTCATATTCATCAGCGTCGGTGGAAAGATAATTATCTTCTGCAATACCGAAGTGGGCTGCATAAGATTGCCAAAAACCTTCGTTATAATCGCCATCCACACTGTAAATAAACAAGATGGAAAGACAGAAGAAAACAAGAAAAAGAATTCTGGTGAGAAAGTTCTATAGCAATCAAATTAAATGAAGAACTTTACTAGCAGAGAATGGTTCAAGACTTGGGGAGTCTATCACAATTTGCATATTTCCACCCGAGCCGTTGACTATCAATGTCATATGCTACCGTCATATCTTGCATAGAGATGTCTGAAGAACAAAAGATGGGGCAAGTTAGATTTTCAAATAATGGCATAAGAAATGCAGATGTATTCATCACTGTTCCTTACCTCCAATCATATTGATTTCTCCAATTCCTTCTTTAACACTACTAATAATCCCCAGGCACACATTTCCATGTTTCTGCAAGGAAAGAGCTTTTTATCAGTGTGTCATTAATACTTATGTTTCCAAATTAGTACCCAGGAACTAGGGTTTCTGAGGTGCTTACGGTGATAATGAGATACGATTCAGGCAGTATTTGGAACTGAGCTCCTCTTGCAAACCTCAGCATTAATGGCTTGAAATAGCCCTGAACATCAGAAATGGATTTGAAAGGTTTTGTGCCTTTCCAGCAGACTGCTAGTGTTTCATCTTTTGTACCTGTCAGAGGCTTGCCATTTAAACTGCTCTTTATCTAACAAGAAAAACAAGTGATTAGTTCCTGTAACTAAAGCTTCAGCTTAATATGAGTGATTAGATGCAAAAAAAAAAATGCTTAGAGAAGCTTTATTCACACCAGATTAATGGAAGCTGTGTAAGCTACAGAGTTGAAGTAAGTGTAGGAGCTGCCACTGTCAAAAATTATGTTCAGACCCTTTACACCAGTAGACTTCCCCCCAAAAAGGAGTTCTGCAGGTCCAGTTTTGTAGTGTTTACTGAAATAATAATCATAGATTACAGAATCATATTCTGGCCATGTAACATTTTCTACCAAAAACATAAACGAACCATACAAAGAAAATGCTTTGCATAACTTACTCTGAAGGATTGGGCAACAATGGAGTCCAGGTCATTCCAGAAGGAGGGACTACCTCACCTCCAAGGAATAGAAACCCTCCACCTTTTCTACTCAAACAATGCCCTACTATGTTCTGCAGCGTTAAACCCTGCGCATGCAGCTGTGACAAGACGCTTATTTTCCCTTTGCCAAGGCCGATGACTCCAGCGATAGCAGGAGGGCGATTTTGAGCCAGATTTAATTGATCATATCCACATCTGCAAACAAGAGGATCAACATCACATAAAAATGACGACATTCACTCCGACGCTATCCTAAAAACGTGCTACAGACACTCAAAACCATATTCAAAATTCAGCATGACACTCACAAAAGTTAAAAATAAAAAAGAGAACACAATCTAGAAAAAAAAAAAAAACAAGCTTGTAAATTGTTCTATATAGTGACTGCTCAAGCTAAAATCTCAAGATTGGGGAGGCACGCACCCAAAGACCAACTTGGGACGGAAGACAGAGCCATTGGTGAGTTTTATGGGTAGCACGTCTATCACCAGCGCACCCATAGATTGATCATTATCCGCATACTTGATCTCGTAGTCGCACTGGTGTTTTGGGTTCTTGCAATCCTGACCTGGTGGCCAGCTAGCTTCCTTACACAGTGGGTTTTCACACAGTACAGCGTTGTGATTGGGCTTGTACTGACGCTCAGTAGGCTGCACATAAACGGTAGAAGGTGAATGAGGAGAGAGGAGATGACAAGATTTTTCAGTAAGTATAGCTTGAGGAGATTTACCACAGTGCAGCCTTTGCAAGGTACATCGCACTGAACCCAGGTGAAGTCACTGCCTGTGTCGATATCAAAGTCAAAAACCTTTGGTGGATTGCCAATGGAAAGGGGCACGCTATAGTACCTGCAAAACCCATTTACAGCCAAGGAAAATTACAAATAAATGCAATGGTACAACATGGAAAATCAAGGGAATCAAGACTGTGATTACCCAAAAAAAGAAAAAGAAAAATGGAAAATACCCATCTAACACAATGTAATACATACATATATACGTCGGTGTAGAAGCAAATAGTGACAAGAAGAATCGGTAATTATGCAAGAATGGGAGAGGGTATAAAAAGTTCGGATAGAAGAACAAGGAACGTTAATAAATTGAATGCTGCTGCTTCATCCTTGCACCGAGACAAACCATAAACAGTCCAAGAAATCAAATCAATACAATGTATGCGGAAATTATACGGACACTTACAGAAAACTTTGATGTAATAGAGAAATCCTGAAAAACTAAAAGAAAAAATCAATCAATCAAGAGGAAGGAGGATTTAAAATATAGCCCCAGAAAAACTGAAATTAAACCGTGAAACAAAAAGAAGTGCGGAAACAAGAAGTCATACAGAAGAACAATAACCCAGAAGCAAGAAGAAAAGAAAGCAAAAGAGATCTAACTGCATTTCCAAGTTTTAGAACGTACCCAAGAGGATAAACATTGCCGCTAAGAGGAAAAACAACAGAGGAACCAAGTCGATTAGGAGCCATAAATTGGGCTGACTTTTTCATACTCGGCGGCTGACCGGAGCTTTCTGCTACTGCTCCTTGAAAAGCAGCATACAGTAGCACGAATAAGAGCGGCAACATCATCCGAGACGATGCCGCACTTTGCTTATAACCATCGTCCATCTTTTATTTCTTTTCCCCTTCTGGGCTATCAATCAAATTCACTACAAGGACGGGCTTTCCTCCCACTTCTTGTTCTTTTAGTTTGTTCTTCTTCTCTGTTTTCTCTCTGTTTCTCTTTCTTTGGAAACGGAGAAGAAACTTGGCTGCGTCTTCCTCGTCTGCTTCCTCTATTTATAGATGTGAACTGTGGGCCACTGGGATACGCGTCTTGATAAAAGTTATTGGAAACATAAATTTGTTTTAAGTGTTTTTTCAATTAATTATTTTAAAATTTTAAATTTATTTTATTTAAAAAAATAGAAAATAATTAATAATTAAATGATAACAACAGCAATAAAAATAATTTTTAAAAAATAAAATAAAATAAAGTCGTTTTTATTTATTTGTGGAAAATATTTTCATTTATAAACATACATTATTATAGAAATAAATATGTAAATTAGATACGAAATTAATTATGTACTTTTTACACAACTGATTCGACGGTCTGATTCTGGTTTCCAGTCGGGCGCGGTGCCACGCGGAGACGAGGCCGAAAGCCAGATCGAGTAATCATGCCGTTGGATCAGGACTGCCATCTCAGCATGCTGAGGTGGCCAGACCAATTAAAGAAATTTTGGAATATTGGGAGCGGGACCCACTACTAATTTTGGTTTTAAAATATTAATAAATAAATAAATAATAAGAGAAGTTGGTTCGTCAAAACTTAAATCCAAAAATACATTCAATGCTTTAAAAAAAGAATGCTATAACGTAATTCTAAAATTGTTAAATTTTATTTAATTTTTCAAAAAAATTATATAACACTCTATTATTTAAATTTATAATTTTAAATTCTGTTATAAATATATTATAGATTAACAGTGACCAACTTATAATAATTAATTACATAATATTAAAAATTTAATTTATGCATATGTTGATATTATTATAATAATTAAATTAGGTTATATCTTACGAATTTATTATTATTTTAAATGTAAAAAATATTTAAAAAAAAAAATTAAGGGTTTCTTTTTATTTTTAAAATAAATATGATAAATTTAAATTTTAAAATAAATTTACATTAATTATGTGTACATAAATTTCAACAATTTTTTTTATTTTATTTTTAATCTTTTCAGCCTAGTGAATTACTCGAAGGAAATGCTAAATTAAAAATGGCATGTGGAACCTACTCACTGAGGTCTCTCTCTTATCTTTCTGGAGGAATACCAACTGCCACCAAGAGTTAGAAATGTAGGTCTGATTGGATTTAATGTGATAGAGTTAAGTTTTCACTTTGGGAGTTGAAGAATTTCCTTCCAACTTTCCTGATTATTTCACCATAAATCTCTTTTTCTATTTTTTTGTTTCTTCGGTATACTTCTATATTAATAACGAAATAGCAGATATGTGAGTTTCAAAATATCGTGTTAAAGAGTACAGAAGTTCGAGTTCTCTTTTTAAGTCATAATATTAAAGTGTTCGTTGAATTGGAATAAATTCGGGATAAAAATAATATATTTTTATTAAATAATGTAAATTTTAAATACTATTCGGCATGAATGAAATTTTCAATTGGATTATGTCTCGTCTGTCATACAAGCTAAATTAAAAGAAGAAATATTAATTTAATTAGTAGAAGTAATATTTTATAATCTTCGTTTTGATTTATAACGAGGGGAATAATTATGTAATTTGTAATATTTATCAATTATATACTTGTGAGAATTATATAAGTGTTGCGATATGGTCGATCCTTCTTGTGATGGTTGTTCATTACGTCATTTAATCACTTTTTTATACTTTAAGTTCTTAATACAAAGATAACATACGACTCACTAAGTTTAGTTCACGAATGGGATGTTTTTATATAGAATTTTTCATACTACGAGACGCATGATGTGATAAAAGAAAATTTAAAATAATATTTCTATCGTTAATTTTTTATCGAAATCAAAAAATTATATTTTTATTATCTTTTAATAAAATATTCGTTTATCTCAATTAAACTAAATATAAATTACTAAAAAAATTTCACAAATCAATTTAAAACCAAATTTACCTTAACACGATCAGAAGAATTAATGTAGTTCCATAAGTAATAGATAATATCATGTTTTTTTAAAATATGATAAGATAAATGTTGTGTAACAGAAGATTGAAAATATCAACCCGCTTATCAAGCAAGTAATAAGTTTAGAATTGACAACAAAAGAACGGAGTAAGAGTTGTTGTCAACAGAAAGAACCTAATAATAAAAGGCCTGAAAATAGGCTTCATGTTTTGGAAAGCCATGCGTTCTTGTGGAGATCCTTCTCTGTCTTCTCGTCATCTCTCCTCATGGTAAACCATCCTAATAATGATATTCTTCTTAGGAAGAAGAGTTTGATCATTAGAGACTTTCAAAAGATTTTGAGATATTTTTTAAAATTATGGCGTCATGATAAGAATCTACCCTCGGCCGATGCCAAAGCCGATGACAAGATCAAATCTAAATCAAAATCTAAGCTTCTTAGATCCAAAAGACCGGAGGCAAACAGTGAAGATGTTGAAGAAGTTTCTCACCAGGCACGAGTTATAAAATGTTTTCCAATATATGCATTATTATTTTCATTTGTATCTTTCTTTTGGCATGATTGTGTTGTTATGTCTAAAGTTCATAACAATAATGAAAAAACCCATATCAAATTTCAAGAGTTTCTTTGATGATGATGCATTATCATTAATTTCCATTCCTGATGATCCTCGTTAATAAGAATATTATGTGGTTCTTCGACGTCTTCGTGTTTTTATTGATGCGTACGTGCGTGCGTGCATGTTTACGTACATAATGTATGCATAAGACAGAAATTTTGTGGATCTTGATCTTGAACACCAATCAATATTCATGGTTTCAGGATTCAGGTGGCAATATAGAAATAGAGGAAAGAAGAATGTATGGAGTCCAAAGTTTTAGATCGTACAATGGAGATGCAATGCAAGGAGATCATAATCCCATGAGTACTAACAAAGGTTTACCGAAAAATCAAAGCTGTGATCATCATTTCTCTCCAGGTGTACCTTCTCCTCTGTCAAGAAGTTCTAGCCGGAGAAGCACCACGCCTCTAAGGAGCACCAGCAGCCGGAAAAACCCAGACGTAAATGGCTTCCCTCGGTCCCTTTCGAGGAATTCGAGCAGGAGCACCACTCCCATCATGTTCTCAAACTCAACTGGGATAATTAAACCACCCCCTATTGAGAAGCAGCTTGAATGCACTCTTGAAGAGTTATGTTATGGATGTACAAAGAAGATCAAGATCACAAGAGATGTCATTACAAACACAGGGTTTGTTCCTATATATATATATCTACATTTCCTCGTCTCTTTATTGAAAAAAAAAGAAAACAGTTAATGATACAAAGATTGTAATATTACGACGGAATCCTGGAAGAACTGTTTTGTTTTGTGTTGTTCTTGGACAGGCAAATCATTCAAGAGGAAGAGATGCTGACAATAAAAGTGAAGCCGGGATGGAAAAAGGGGACAAAGGTAACATTTGAAGGAATGGGAAATGAGAAGCCAGGAACTTTACCTGCAGACGTAACATTTGTGATTGCTGAAAAGAGACACCCTTTATTCAGAAGAGAAGGAGATGATCTGGAGTTAGCAGTAGAAATCCCTCTGGTGAAAGCCCTCACCGGCTGCTCCTTGTCCGTCCCTTTACTAGGAGGCGGGAAGATGAATTTGACAGTCGATGAAATTATTCACCCTGGCTTCCATAGACTCATTGCAAGCCAAGGCATGCCAGTCAGCTCGAAAGAGCATGGAAAGAGAGGAAATCTGAAAGTTGTTTTCTTAATTGGGTTCCCAACCCAGCTGACAGAGGAACAACGGTTGGATATTCTTAGCATTTTATGAATTTTTTTTTTTTTTTTTTTACTCTTTTCTTCTGTACATGTTCTTTTAACAGTTCAATTCTAGAACATGATTGTAAAATATATGTAGAACCTAAGAAACTGTGTAGTTATTCGAGAAAAAAAGAATATCCTGAGACTCTGCTACAACCTGGAGAAACAGGTGCCTCATTCAATTCTATTTCACCATCATAATTTTTCTTTTTATTTCCAATTTCAGAAGAAGATGCTTATAATCAAATTCTATCAATGACTGTAACAAGAACCAACAATAAATACATGCTGAACCGAACGCGTCCTTTAAAAAAATTTACAAAGAAAACTTAACACTCCAGAGAACCCCACATTAGTGCTTATAAACCTAAGCAAATCCGAGCAGGGCTCGGATTATGCCCATTATATTCCCACCAATCATAGCCTTAAGCAATCTTAGCTTCCCATCTGTATATGGTGGATACCTGATGGCTGCATCGCCGGCAAGACTTCGATATAGAACTGCTTTTTTATGACTGAAAGCATCAAAGGAGAATTTCCCATGGTATGCGCCTATACCACTCTCCCCAACTCCCCCGAATGGTAATGTGTGCACTGCAACCTGCACCATCAAGTACACATCATATACTCAGCTTCCAAATTCAAAAGGAAAAGCAAACAGAAAAAGTTAAAGTACATAAAATCAACTTATATGAATTATTAGATGCTGGACAAGATTATGCCATTATGTTCAACTTGAAATCCACACTATCAAATTCACCACTAAATCATGATACCCACGTGAAACTCCATTAAACACACTTATAGATAGTGCTTGAAGTTTTTGAAACTCATCTCTCCCCCATACTTACACCTCTGTTCATCAGCATTACAGCAATTAAAACACAGTTTAATCATGGATCAGCCTCTCGAGCATGCGTATGAATATTGATGTCACCATGCATGTGTCTGATTGTGCATGCAGGAATATGCATCTTTTTCAATAATTTGGAGGAAGTAAAGTTACATGGACAGTAGTGTCGTTGACAACTAGCCCCCCTGCGGAGACGGTCATTACAAATTTCTGCTTCAATTTCTTGTCATTGGTGAATAAATATGCTGCAAGTGGCTTTGTTCCCGAGTTTATCACATCAAAACTGTCTTCCAATTTGTCAACCTGTTCAAACCAAGAAAAAAAAAAAAAAGGAGAGCACAACAGATGAGCGTTTCTCTCTGTTTGAGAGGCCCATGTAAGATTTAACTTTTTTATTTTGTTAATTTTCTGTCTCTGAGGGAAAAATAGATGCCTAAAATTGCTGAAATGATCTACAACCAACCTAGCGTTACTAGAGACCCAAAGAAAATAAAAATTATGCAGAAACCATGAAGAAGGAAAAATTCAAAAAAAAAAAAAAAAGAAAAAGAGAACTCTTTTGCGACAGACACTTTTAGTACCTACCGTAATAATTGGGAGCAGAGGGCCAAATATTTCCTCAGTCATTATCAGAGAATCTCGTGGGACATCAAGCAAGATGGTTGGAGCAATTCTCCTACAGCCAAAGGTAAAGAAACATTAACCATAAAACAGGTCCATGCACTTGGTTGCATGAATTATAATGAAGTAATGACGTAAAATCAGAAAGCAGCTCACAGGTTGGCACTGTCCCTTTCACCTCCATATACAATTTTACTAGAAACCTTATCCTCATCCAAGAGCTTTATCAAGCGAGCAAAGTGATTGGAATTGACAATACGGGATAAGTCCTTTGACAGCAGCGGATTCTTCCCATAAAATGCCTCAAGTTCACCCTTCAGGGCATCCACCTAGAAAGAAGTAACAGCAATTAAAAAAAAAAAAAGCAACGAAACAAATAACTAATTCATATTCTAAGCATATGTACGTGTAACCTTACCACTTTCGGAGCATAATCTTCTGTTGTGATAATGTAGTCAGGAGAAATGCATGCTTGTCCATTATTACAGCCCCATTTCCCTGCAATTATGCGCCGAGCTGCAACCTTGAGAACAGGCAAATGTACATAATCATATTAGGTTGTGACTTGATACAGTATCATAAAGCAAATAAAATGATTTTGATACATGGGCTTTACTTGTAGATTGATGCCCGAGTCAACAACAACTGGAGATTTTCCACCTAACTCCATAACAACAGGTGTCAGGTGCTTTGCAGCAGCGGCCATCACAATACGTCCAATTCTTCCATTTCCTGCAAAGTTCAAGGATTAATTGGTAGTTAGTTCATATTAATTAGATAAAGTTTTCATGAAATCCTGCTTGGACCCAATGCCTATACTGTTGGTACCAGTTTACTTCTATTTTCAAAGATATCCTTCAACCATACAGCTGATTTTCAACTGCTGGTACTGATGGCCTCTATGTTTCCTTTTTTGTTCATCATTACCACGATATTTTAGATATACTTGTCTTGTAAGATGACCCATCACAGGATGATAAAAGTTCATTACAGATTTACATGTAGCCAACAAGACATGCAACGGAAGATATGAGGATTAAAACTCCAGGCCCAGGAAGAACATTAAACAGTCCTAAAATACAGCAAAAATTGACCAAGATCCAATCTCCAAATTGTTATAGGCCCTAGTATTGTGCCATTTGACTAAGCACACTAGAGGAGGTAGAAGAAGAATCAAGGGCTAGGCTGCTAACAGCTAATTGATTAAGTTGTTATGTTTTATTTTATTAATTTATTCCTATATATTGAGTTATGCCCTTCAGTTAGTTAGGGTAGTCAGTTTGGATAGGCAGTTTGTAGCCTTTGAGTTTCTGTCTTGGTATCCTAGCTTATGCATATAACTAAGTCTGCAAGAAATAAAGAGGTCATGCTTCAAAAACGTTTCCGGAGTTCTTTTAGTGATCATTGCATTCTCTATTAAGAAGCCCCTACCAATTGATCCTATAATAAAATCTTGAAACAGATACTAGAATATTTGGTATCAGAACCTTCTAATATAGATGACATGATATCTCCAATGACAATTTGAGAATTTTCTTAAATGTGAATGGTAGGATTCGGTATAGCAACATCTTGAGCAGGAGCAAGACATGGCAGCTTTTGCTGCCTCATAGCAAGTATTTGTAGGTCACCTGGAAGCATATCCAGGAAAGGGGTCTGTTGGATTTGTTCAAACGACTGGGGAAATATTGCTGATGAAAGCAACAATAGAGGAAGGAAGATAGATATGGACCACGGGTGGACACACTAGAATGAAAAACTTAACCAGGCCAAAATTGAGGAGAAACAAGCATAGAATATGCTTTACTCGTGACCAAAAAATTATGCTAGGTCATCACTGCAAAAAATGGATAGCTGGAGGTTGTGGATGCCACTCATGACTCAGTTGTGCCTTACTCTAAAACTACAAATAATGGATAGAAAATAAGACTTGCAACATGTTTTGACTGTATTGTCAACAATTCTTAATCAGTACAAGAGTTTGCCTCCAACCCATTTTTAACAAAAAGTTAGGAAGGGAATTCGGGTTGTTGGTTCAGAACCGAACTGACCAAATAATTTCGATAGTCCGCTTTTGGTTATCCCTATTACTCAGTTTCGGTCGGTTTTGCCGTCAAGGCATTTTGGCCGGTTAACTAGATACCCGAACCAATCGTCTGCATACCTCTATTTCCTCCGCCTTCGCAGATGGTAACAACTTAGACCCTATATTCAAATTGGAAAGGAAAAATCAAGTTCATCTTGCTAGATCATGTGAAACAGCAATTCACCAGGACGGTAATGAAACAAAAGTATCTTACTACCATTGCAGAAGCAATCTCGTAAGAAAATCCTAGAAACTCTTCCTTTGAACCTTCAAGCTATAAGAAATCTTTGTACTTTTTGAATAGCCGACTAGCCAACATCATTTATTTCCAGTTCGCAATATTATAGTAAAACTAGAATACTATTAACCCCTGATGCCATCCAGACACCGGTTGCTCTTCATGACACAGATGTCAAATAACTCTGCTTCAAACCAGAGCTCTCAGATGTATGGTTTCGAACTTATCAACCCTGCTTTGATTTTTCCAGTTATTGTTTACTTCTTTGGTTTTTTGTAGATACAGACATAACTTAATAATACTCATAATAGCAAGCTACCTTCTACTTGTTAAATTTTGTGAGCAATTTGCAAAGTCCATTACTAGGCTTCAAATTGTACACTACTTATGCTTTAAACAACATCAAATAAAGCATACACAAATGGGGGACTTACAAGAACAAAAATCAATAGACGACAAAGATGGTGCACCAAACCAATTCTAAAGCTGAAACTGGATTTGATCAATCAACTCTCATCTCAACAACCAATTTTTTTAATTTATATATTTCCCTAATTGACCCATATTTCCCGCTTCTCCTTTCCCTGACATTATGTCTTCAACTTGTAGTGGTGAATAATTCTAATGAAACTCTTAAGAACAGAATTATATTAGTTTTCCTAGACAAACTATTGTTGAGAATAACTCAAACTCTTAGGAATATAACAGTAGGAGTCTGACATTCAAGAAACTATAATCCATCTTCTGTTCTACGATATGAGCATTTTCTCAAGAGAAGTGGAGGAAACTGTTTGAAGATTTGAACTTGAAACCAAAATATCAGAATGAAAAAGAAAAGCATGCAATTGCATAAGAAACAATTCATATATAATAGACGACTGAACTCCTTGTAGAAATTAAAATTATTTTAGTTGCTTGATCTTAAGGTTATGCCAGAAGTTAGAACCTGTGTAAAATATTTTGTCCCACTTCTGCTCCAATAATGCAGTCGTTTCAGCAACAGCCCCTTCAACAACCCTTATAGCAGAGCTATCCATATATTCTCCAACCAATTTTGCAAGCAATGAGGACGTAGCTGGAGAAATTTCTGAGGGCTTTAGAACAGCAGCATTACCGGCTGCAACTGCTCCAACTAGTGGATCAAGAGACAACACTGCAAAATAACAGCCGATACTTTGAACAAAAAGAGATTTTGGGACCAAAATATATAATAGTTGTTATAGGACCAAAAACATTATCATCCGGGTGTTGGCATACAAAAAGGATAGTTCCAAGCTGAGATTAACAATACAACGCCCAACGGTTCTGGCACGATTTCAGCTGATGAAGGAAAAGTTGTAATTGAAGTTTTAGCCTGCAACAGAAAGAAACGTGTCGAACTCAACTGAAGTCCATAATTACCAAGACAACATTAGAAGGAAATCTTACAATAGCTACCTTTTCTGGCATCATCCAGTGTTTCAGTTCCTTGAGTGCCAACCCAATTGAGTTCTTCAGTATGGCGACCTACATAAAAACAACCCCACCAATCGACATCAGATGAAAAATTATATGCACTATGTTTCATACAGGTCTTTGATGATAAAAGAATCTGCATATAATACATAATTCGTACTTCGGCTGGTCCTTCCACATCCTTAGTTCCAGACAAGAACCATAGCAACAAATTTCTGTCTCTATGAGATTGCAAATCATTTACTGTAACTATATGAACCGAACTTTTTTTATATTTAAATAAAACAACCTTGCTTTCCTTGTTTCAGACCATGTACAAATTTATTTAGGTAGTTATCTGCAAATCATTCCCAATTTCCAGAACATAGTTGGGTAAAGTGTTTTCCGCACCATTAATGAGTGATCTTCACACATTGAGTTATTACACTCCAGTTTTCGTAGTTGTTTGTAATTCCACCGAATATTCTTTATGGATGAGAGGAACTATCAACACCCAAGTAGAAAGTGGTGGCAGTATGGACAGAAAACAGAGAAGAAGAGAAGGAAGAATTCAGAAGGAAAACTCAAGTTTTCTGCTTCATAAACATCTTAAATATCCGAAACAGTTTGCTGCTTCCAGAGAAACATCCTTTGGTTATTCTCTTTGGGTAGCCTTAAATATTCCAAAAGGAGCTTGTCCACTAATATAAGCTTTGTGAAAAATACAAACCAATGAGACTAAAAACTGAATTAAGGATAAAGCATTTCTTCAAGGATTGACAGAGAAATGTCAACCATTCAACAGAAAGGTCCCAGAAAAGAGGAAAGGGAAGCTATCCTATTGACCAATAGATTTAACATGTGTCTCTTGTGAAGGCAATAAATTCACGGGTCTGAGCCCCAAAGACTCGTCTGAACCCCAAAGACTCGTCTGAACCCACATATCAGTTGAATTTTGGAGATGGACGATTTGTAAAAGACCAAAAAGTAGGTTACGGAAAGTAAGTAGTTGAGCCATTAATGCTCCTTCTATCTACACATATGCAAACAGTTTTCGGGTTTTGCATTTAAAGAACTCAATTTTCTTTTACCAGTCCACTAGGACTGTCATTCAACTACCTTTTACTAGAACATTACGAAAGCATCAGGATCACATTAAAGTTCATATGAAGACGCCTAGTTTCTTGGGGCAAACACATCAAAGGAAACAGTTTTTTTTTTTTTTTTGTAGTAGTAGTACAAAAGCATTAAATTAGTAATATGACTGCTTAAATGAGTTAAAGGACAATAAAGAAACAGGTGGTTGCTCTCCTTCATTCCAAACCTACAACATGAGTTGTCTTTATTCAAGCGCCACCAAACACTTGGCATATCCTAAGACTTAACCACAATCAGAACCAGCAAGTTATTACAGGAAAAGGATATTTACTAAGACAATTTTGGAGACCAAAAAACTGATTGTGTTCCAGAACATACATATAAAAACACAATAATAAATACACTCACGCACTACAAAAAAATTCGAGGATTAATCAGTCTAAATAATCAATCAATCAAATAACCGTCAATTGCAGAATCAATTTGCAGTCTGTAAGAAGCAATTTAGGGAACAACTTCGGATACCCTGACAAACAGCCATCCGATAACCGTATATAACTGAACGAATAAACAACCAAAATCAAAGATTAATCATTCGTTCAAACATTCGAAAAAATATATATATGACTATGTTCCACATTATACACACAAATAGACATAAATAAATACACACACATGTAAATAAACAATTCATTGATTAATCAATCCAAAGAATCAGTCTCTCCGCAGAATCAATCTGCAATCTGTACGAATTTCTTCATCAAACAACTTCCGGTACGCTGACAAACCGCCATACGATACTCGCATATAATGAACAATTAAAAAAAAAAGACAGAAATGAAAATCACATCCATAGACATCCACCTATATATGCTCACACTTTTTTCCGTCATAATTGATTCGTGTTACGTAATGTATTAAAAGAAAGCACTTAAAATCCAATTGTTCATATCACACAATCAAAAGCCAAGAAAGTACGTCCCTACGGTTAACGAATACGTGCGCATGTTACTGTATATATATATATATATCAATCAATGTGAAATAGATGTTTGATTATGAACAGATATAACTTATTCAAAGACGAGCAGAATCGCTGACCTCGTAGAGTATGGATTCGAGTTCAGGCTTGGATAGGTCCTCACGCAGAGCAGCGACAATCTCTGGTTCATGATATTCGCATATCTTCAACAGATTCTTCAGCTGAGCCACTCGCCAATCGTAGCTCCGTGTCCTGCCGGAGGCGGCGGTGATTCTCAATTCCTTCATAAGCTCGCTCGCTTCATCTGCACCGAATACTTTCATCCGCACTTCGCTTCCCATGCTGGAGACTGCCGCCACGACCGTATAGACACAGGGAGAATGTATGTATATGTGTATGTCGACGGAGATATATATAGATGACGCGTAACTTTCTCCTTTCTAGGTAAATTATCTGGACAGAATCGCTTGTATTCAATAATTTTACTAGCGTTAGTGGTTGGATTTTTGTTATGGATTTGAGAGAATCTGTTGCGCCAAATCCAAGAACAATTGGGCAATGAAAACAACAAAGAAGACGATTGGCCCACTTATAGAAAAAAAAAAAGACGATAACGTCTGTACGTAAGTGGGCCGGCGCGTTTGCGTTCTCACGCGGGATTGTGATTTCACCTCGCTCATTGCTTTTGCCAGTGAACTCCACGCGATCAAAAGCGCGTGAATCTTTTGAGGTTAGAAAAAAAAAAAAACTTGAAAGATAATCTGTAATCATTAAAATGGACAAATAAAATTAGAATTTTTTTAAAATCTCAGCAATTAATAAAAATCTATTTTTTATTTGGATAAAAATCCGATTTGATATTGGGAACGGACGAAACCGGTATCCGGTCAACATGTTGAGGTTTAGGTTTTTCTTGCTTTTACGTTAGATATTCAATTATGTACTCTATAATTACGTATGAATAAAGTGATTTTTTGCTATACAATTAAAAATATTTTCTAATTTTCATTTGAGTTTCAATTAATATCTATCTGTACTCTCTAAATAATTCTAGTTAATTAGTGTGTATACGGACATAATTGAATGTTAATAATCTTGTTTTACACTCGATATAATTATTTACACAATCTAAATAATTAATTTAAATTCGGGTTGAACGTAACTTTTGGTTAAACCCTTTAATTAAGTCAATAATCTTAAATTTAATTAACTTTATTAATTAAACATTAATATTCTCTAATCAACATACTCAAAATCTATAATATATATATACACTTTTAGGTTAATATATATCAACTTGAAGAGAAAGCAGAGTTAGATTTGAATTTTTTTTTTGTTATTTATTTTGTTATTTTATCTTTTTTTTTTAATTTTTATCAACAACAACAATAACAATAATAATAATATTATTATTATTATAATAAAAATATCATTAGTTGCGGAGAAAATTAAGTATTTTTACTTGAATTTTTTACTAGCTCTTTCAATATTTTATCATTATTATTGTTTGAACAGATAAAATTAGAGTGTGATAAAATTCGTTGATACTCTCTTATTAAATTAATTTAATGCATGAGTTTAACTTCTTTTTGAATTTCTTCATTATTAAACTCTTTCAATATATAATTATATATTTAGTTTATTATGTGTCTATTTTACCACAAAGTATGTTGACTCTTTGGTTAAATTTATGTTTTTTTTAAAAAAAATTATGTCCAACTCTCACGTTTTTATTAAGAATGAGTTTTAAATGTAATATTCAGGTCCGAAAATCAACTCAGGATAATCATTTTTATTTATAAAAGTTATATAAATAATTATTTTTATTTCATTTTATTTTTATTTAAATTATTAAAAAAATAAAATATGGACGAAATTGAAAATAATTTTTAAAAAAATGTGTGAAATTTTGAATAAAAAATGTATTTTTGAAAGAAAATTTGAAAACATGATGTAAAATCACAAAAAGAGAAAGTTCAGCCACGTGGAATGGCCCAATCAGCTGCCACGGCGAACTAGAGCACGCTGCATGGCAAAACATGCTGACATCAACGCCATGCAGGCAATCCGCGCGCCTGGTGATCCAATAGCCCCGATCACGTCCCGTGCACACGGACAGCTCAGATGCATTTCCTCTTTAGACGTGATCAGACGGACGAGATCAATCGCGATGAATGATCCAATTCGACCATGTAATCGGTGTAAACAGGTAACGATCAGATAGTTCTCCTCGCTCCACGTCGACACGAACAAACCCTCCAGATCGACGCGAGATGAGTATTTAAACATTACGTCTCTGGGAACCCTAACCCTAGCCACACCTGCCTTCGCTAGAGAAAAAGAACCAAACGCTAGAGAAGGAGACCGACCATCGGCTGTCGTTGCAACGAAACCCCCGCTGATCGCCAAAAAATGTAAAATTTTATTGTTCACGCTCGAAATTTGATTTCCAGTCTCCCTGTGGCCATATCGGAGCAAAAAAGACAATGGATGAGCCAAAAATCACGAACAAAATTCGATGGAGTTATCGTGGCCAAAATCCTAAAACCCATTTGATGAGCTCTTTCCCATTTTTTGTGTCACAAAATTTTTCGGTTATTGTGTTCACTGTCATTTTTTTTGTGTAGATTAGACGAAAAAGAAACTTCAGTCGCGAAGGAGAATAAGCGAAACCGCCGCACTAGGAGACCCCTCTGCCGGTAGATTCGATTTCTTTTGATTTTATGGCCAACCAAGGCCCCCTAACATGTTTTTTCATAGGAATACATATAAAATCGACTAAAACTGACTAGGTCGAGGCAAACCATCACCGTGGGCAGCAGAGTCGATGCCGGAACACGGCGGCGTTGCCGTGTCAGAATCATAAAATTGGTCAGAAATGATTTTCAACACCGATTTTAAATTTTTGAGATATTTTTAGGTACATGACGAGTATTCTGATTCCCGCAAGAAAAATTCATAAAATCCGGAACCCGTTATGAGGCGTAGTAGAGAGTACGACACTTTGAAACACCAATCCATGTAATAATATCTCACTTTATTCTCTGTTATAGTAAATTGAGACTTAGTGATGGATAATTTTATGTTTTGTAAAAATTAAAAAAAATTCTAAAAATAATTACATGTCACTAATACAGCCGAAATCGGTTAGTTCATGTTTGTTATGATTCCTTGTTTATTTTTATATACTGCATAAATTACTTACTATTATATTGTATGTATTTAAATTGATATGGTCTTATCGATTATTTAGTTATTTGGTTTCTCCTGCATTGTTGATTCGATATTCTGGTTATTTTGTTATTCAACTATATTAAACTATATTGCTTGCTTAAGTGTTGTTTAAATTAATCTATGAATATCAAATGAAATGTTGGTATGCGTTGGTGGTTGTTTGGATGATAAGAATCTGTATAAATAAGAACTTGTTGGGTATCTTAGGAACGGGTGTACGAACCTGGTACATAAAAAATCCTACCGTGGACATTATTTCAGTCGGACGAGGCTGATAAATCCCACACCGGAAGGGTTTTGGAATATAGAGTTCACTCTTATATTGGACAAGGTATCGAGACGATGATGTTTTTGGTACTCATTACCGGACGAGGTATGTGGACGGCTGAGTTAATTGTTAAATTTTGATATTAGGTCCATGAGTATAGAGATATCTCTATGGACCCTCATGGGTCCCAGTAAGTAACTTAAAAACGAAGAATTGCTGATTCTATGTATGAAAATGAAGTGTCATTTGGACATTAATCTTCATATGTTGATTTTGAAAAAAATTGTAATTGTAAATATCGGATATAACGTTTTAAAGTCAAAATTATTTTCTTAAAGTAAACGTTCAATTAGTTGTTTTTTTTTTATCAATATTCGATTTTTCGTATCAGTAATTAGTGTGATATTCTTACTAAACTAGTATAACTAGCTATTTTATTGATTATTTTAGCTAAAGAAGACCAAAATTCATATTTTGATCACCAAGAATGTTGTGAGTAAAGGTTACTTTTAGAGTATCTATTTATTTATTTTTATCATTTGTCATTTTATAAACCAACGTAAAATGGACATTTTCGTAACTATATTTGACATTTTAATTTACCGTGTAAGAAATACAAACTATAACATTATTATTGCTTTCGCATTTAAAATATAAATTCATTTTCTTTAAATTCTAGGTTATTACACTAAATATGCACTTTATAACTTGTTATAATTTGATTTTTAAAAAATGGTATCCATACTAATGTTTTAATTTTGTAAATATATAAAATAAATAATTAAAAATATACAAAATACACGTAGATTGACTTAAATTATATAATAAATACTTATAACTAATTTTAAAGACAAAATAAAACAAAATGTTTATGATAATTGAATGTCTTTTTTTTTTTTTTTCCCCAAATCAAATTTATTCTTCTGCTTTTCCATCAAATAAATTCTTGTTGTTGCAAAATTAAAAAAAATATATATAAAATTATGTAAGTACCCACATAAATCATATCATGCAGTGAGGCTTTTTATTGCGTGTATGTATATATATATATATATATATATATATGTGTGTGTGTGTGTGTGTGGATGGTGCAAATATGTAGTTGTTATTAATGATCAATGGACACTTGGGGCATGTGAGTTAATATAGGAATTAATCTGTGCACTAATTTGCATGATCTTCTCGCCAACTATTATTGATTTGGATAACTTTGTCGGTAGCTATTACTGATTGATTGCAGACAACTTACTTCATTAAGTTTGGACAAATTATTTTGATTTGTTATTCTTCATTAATTATATTGTATACAATATATATTAAGAAATTATTTGATTAAATCATTCGGTTATATTCCATATAGTTCTAAATACTATATACTATATAATTGGATGACATAAATCCCTAATTAGATTTCGTCAAAATGTATCGATGGAGTACATCGTGCTAACATTAATATTTCCTGCTACGATAACTTTATCAGAGACCGAGAATGAAACGTATCTGGAGAGCTTTATAGTAAGAAAATTAGTAGTCGTTCATTTTTATTGTTAAATACTTGTTATTGAATAATTTGTGTGTTTGAATTTCTAATATATTTATCACGAAAAAAATAAATAGCTGACGAATTTTGAATTCTTATTGTAATTTGATCTTCATGGACATGCTCGTGTGACAAGTGATATCCGTCAACTTATCACGTTCGATTTTACGGGAGTTTCTTAATCCATTATATTAAAAAATTAATTTTTAATTAAATCAATCTGACCAATTAATCTATTAAATTTCTTCGGTTAAATCTGACTAATTACAATTTTTGTTGAACAACTAAATTATTTTCTCCCGCAAGATTCGCGGGACGGTTACAAATCGGTTGCCTATTTCTAGCCAAACAAGTGACGGAGAATTCCCCGCTGTTCTCGTCTGCGCGGGCCCCACGTGACTACTATTTAATTTTTAATCTACGAGCTTCATCAGTTATCAGGTGACAGTGCGGCATTTGTACCTTTGTGCAGTCTCTCTCTCTCTCTCTCTCTCTCTCTATGTAACAGAGCTGCCTTTCTAATTTAATACCTGCTGTTTGGAAATTCTATTGGGTGCTACCCCTAATATTTATTTAATTATTTTTACATTATACTTTTTTATTTGTGTAACTTTTTTTAATGAATTGTCGTATTAAATTAGTTTTATATACAGGAAAAAAAAATAGTATTAGTTGAATTATAAAATCAATAATTTTTTTTGAAAAGCATAGGTTAAATGATTAGTGATGGATGATAGACAAGGTAAAATAAAATTATATTTGAGAAAATAAAGTACAAATTTTAATGTTTAAAAATTAAAATAAAATTGAGATTGAGTCAGTAAAAATCAGTAATTAAGTAAATTAAGCTTCTAAATTATAATATTTAATTAAAAATTTTGGATTAAATTAAACTAAAAATAATTAATCTCCGAGTAATTATATAAAAATATATGTATTCCGATTCAAGTTTTTTCTTTTCCTATTTGCTACTGATGGGTGATTGAGACTAGTGTTGATTAATCTACTCTCTTAATATTCTTTACTTAGCGGCAAAGAAATTTATTTTTTTATATATTATATTTTATATTAATATTTTTAAAAGAATTTTCAACCATCCATTCATTTTGGTCATGAAATTATTGGTATTAAATTAAAATTTTATAATAATGCCACGTGTCATCGGTCCCACCTTTTCGAATCATGAACCTTACAAAACACCACTGATAAAGAAGGGCAAATCCTTGCAGATAATAATAATTAAATGGTGATTTCAATGGAAAAAAATAATTTAAAAAATTTACTGTACCACCAACCAATAAGAGTATTACATATTTAACACGAGGATACTCTGCGCCACATCCGGTTAGGGAGAGCAAGGTAAACGCCGGATCCAAACAAGGCCTTAAATAAGGAGTGCTCGGACTATGTGGAGCTGGTTGGTTGTTGGGCCTGAGGGTTAATCCAATCCGCAACAAAAGGAGATGATCCAGATGGCAGGGCATGTGTCTGTCACGGTCCCCATTCCACCATCGCAGCCATCATCACCACTACCGCACATGGCGTCTTCTCTTGGCACCGTCGCTTCATCACGCTTACTCTCCTCCTCTAAAGCCAGACTCTGTCTCTCCTCCTCCTCCTCCTCCCCGTCTATATCTACACTCTCTCTTTCGTCTCTCAGATGTCTCTCTTCCTCCCCTCTCATTTCTCGTCTCTCTCTCAATCAGGTTTCACCTCTCATTTCTATTTTTCTATCTCCCTATCTATGTTTATATTTGTGATATTTGATTGTTGTGATCGTTTCCTTCTAGAATACGTGGTTATGGGTTTATTCATTTGCTTTGCTTGCTTATTTGTATTTATTTTTGGTGATTTTTGAAGAGATCTTTTGTTAACGTGAGCAATGGAGGTTTTAGCACTGTGGCTACTGCGAAATCTGCAGCTTCTGATCCCGATCAGTTGAAGAGTGCCAAGGAAGACATCAAAGAGCTACTCAGGACTAAGTTTTGCCATCCTATCCTGGTATGATTTTAATTTGGTTTACATACAGTCTACAATAATACACAAACATACTACATGTGCATGTGCTTTTTAGGTGAATTGAACCAGTAATTGATTCGCGAGGTTAATAATTTTGCATTTGATTATTTTCTTTATAATCTTGTTCATGGGATTTGCCAGCTTTATATTCTTAATTTTCTTGTTTAGTTTAACGCTCTTCGGAATTGCATAACAATTCTAATCTTCGAGTACTTTTCATTCTTTCCTTACTTCTTCTTGGAAAAAAAAAAAAAAAACCGAAGACCAGCTCCTTGATAACAGTACTTTGTTTTCTTAGTTTCCTTACTGTAATATGTTGGACTTATCTTTTCCTGCTGTTGACTGGAAGATTCGAGGAGTAGATTGCAGGAGCTTGTTAAGAACTGAACTGTTTTATCATCTGAAATAATTTTGTACCACAGGTTCGCCTGGGCTGGCATGATGCCGGTACATATAACAAAAACATTGAGGAGTGGCCACAGAGGGGTGGAGCTAATGGGAGCCTTAGATTTGAAGTTGAACTAAAGCATGCAGCCAATGCCGGTAATTTTTTGACTTTGATATATTATGTGGGTTGGCTGATCCTGCTCTGACTCGGTAGCTGGCTTTTTCAGGTCTTGTGAATGCATTAAAACTAATTCAGCCCATCAAAGATAAGTACTCTGGTGTCACATACGCAGACTTATTTCAGTTGGCCAGTGCCACTGCAGTGGAGGTTCTTATTGTTCCAATTCTTAGATATATATCTGTAGCATTAACTTCTTTTGAACAATTAAAGATCTACTGGTGAACCTTGTTTATTCAGGAGGCTGGGGGTCCAAAAATCCCCCATGAAATATGGAAGAGTGGATGCATCGGGGCCTGATCAGTGCCCTGAAGAAGGGAGACTTCCTGGTTAGTGAACCATATTTTTCTTGATGACATGTAGTTTGACAAATTCCATCTTGGTGTCCTTGTTGATTCTGCTGGATCATTACAAGATCATGCTGCCACCTGCTCACATAAATTAGATATTGACATTTGAAACATGCTAAGCTCCGTTCTAAGTAGAATTACATCAACAGCACAAAAGTATCATATTGACATGTCATGACCATGCATATTAACATAGTTCATAGCTCTGGTGTTTCATGTGATTTTTGCTTGATTATCTTTGCTACTCTAGAATAAATGAAGAACACATCTGTCTTTTCAGAGTCTTCAGATTACAAGGCTAACTTTCAAATCATTTACTTAGTCATAGAAGAATTAAGAGAGCATTTGGTTTCCAGCAGGTAGGTGTTGATTAATGAAGCATTAAGCATGTTTGCACCTAAGGATAGTTCTAGCAGTTCTCATTTTCTAGAGCCACAAGGCCCTGTTGCTTATTCCACGACTATTATCTATAAGATCCTTGTTCATTTTTGGATTAAGTAGGGAGGAACGAAGTTGAATTAACACGCAAATAAAGGATTGAGTTTTTGTTTTCCTATGTATTCGAACTATGAAGAGTGCCAATGGAGTTTACAGTTGGATGCCTTACATGGTCGATATCAGTTGTCACAATCTTACTTATGTGTAGGTAATGCAGAATATGAAGCTCATGATAACTAGAGAGAGAACCTTCTAGCGAGAGAAAGAGAGGGCGAGTGTGTTGCTTAGGTGGGCATGGAGTAGGAAGGTAAAAGGGAAAAAGGGTAGGTAGATTGAAGAGGAGGAAGCAGGAAGTTAGGTCGGCCACTCGGGCCGACTAGGAGGGGGCGGAGAATATGGTGGCACACCGAAGGAAGTTCCTAGTAATAGATAATAAATCTTTCGATGTGGTCTGTGAGGGGCAGAAGATGGAAGGTATGAGGATTAGTGAGAGCGGAAGAGGATTCTGGGTATGAATCTCGTTGGAGAAAGAGGAGGAGGAGTGGTTAATGGATGCCTTTGAAGACTTCTATCGAAGAAATGTAGGGAAGACATGGGGAAAGCATACGACAAGTGGCGCTGGGACAAAATCAAAATGGGAGATTCCTTGTGCTAACAGGGGAGAGAGGGCGAGCAGTGACGCAGGAGATTTTCAAGGACATGCATTCTATTTCGATCTTGGGTCAAACTAGTTTTGTTATTTGAAACATGAGCATGCATATGGTGTGAAGTAGATGGTATCAATATGTACAATAGTGTGAATGTTGCTGGAGCATATATTGTTTTCATTGGGATCCTTGATTATTTCTATACGTTAGCTTTTATTGAGTTCAAGTTTTATGTATTTTGTGTTTCTTCTGGATAAATTAAACAACTAACTTCTTAAGATAATTTATTTTATGTTTAGATTCTTAGTTCCAATTGCCTGTTGATCGTTATAACTATGTGAGTCCCCCGAGATGCAAGTGTTATTCCATTCAGATCCTCAATCATCTTTTTTTAAAAAATAAAAATGTGAATCAATATATTAACAAGCACTGAGAAGATGTCAACCGTATAAAAAAAATTTACACATTATCAAAATGTCAATAATATCTCCACAATCCTCCAGAGAATATCGAGAATGACTCAAAATAAAAAATTCAAGAGTTTGAAATCATCTATTTCTAATCCTATCAAAATTCCCTACATCATTTACTCCTTCAAAAACTCTTTTGTTCCTCTCATTTCAAATTATCCTAAAGATGGTAGGTGGGATAAGCTCCACATTTTTCCTCTGCCCACTGATATCCTTACACGTCCATATTTCATCTCTACCCGAATCTGCCACCACCCAATTGATACCGAATAATCGTAAACAATAGACCATAGTTTCTATGCAATCGGGTACCATAGAAAAACATGATTTACAAAGTTCTGCAATCTTTTTACACAAGTAGCACCCATTCACCATAGTCATTCCCCTCCTTATCAATTTAAAAATAGTTGGGATGCACCCTCTTATTGCCTCTCATGTAAAGAAAGTCACTCTGAGAGGGACTTTAACCTTCCATATTTGTCTAAAAAGGAAAACCAAAACCAGAGCATTCCTGCTTAGTCAGATGCTCGTAGAATGATCTGACCAAAAAGAATCCTGTAGTAGTAGGACTCAAAAGAGGTTGATCATTGCTGCTGTCCGAAGTTATAGAGACAAAATAGTTAGGAGATTCTCATACTC